AGGCGTTACCGTTGCGCAGCCGGTTTTCATTGCTCTGAGCCACCCAGGGAACCCTTTGGTGGGCAGCGCGGCTGCTTGACTGAGATGGGTTAAAAACGTTGAGTAGAAAATCCTGGCAGTTGTAAACATCAGATCTGCTCTTTGGTGTAAAGAAAAGCAAACGGGCCATGGCAGTTGCTTTTCTTTTTTTTTGGAGGCACGTTTCCTGCAGGGGTCGGGGCTGTCTGCAGGTTCAGCTCGGAGCACGGCTTCTTCTGGGCCTTGCATGGCAGGGACTTCCAGCAGGAACCCACCACCACCACCACCACCCTCCGGGGCAGCTGGCCTACGATTTCTGTCACCAGGGCAGTCATTGGGCACGATTTTGGGACACGGAAGATGCGGATGAGCCTAGCGAACGTGCCGACCGCGGCACGCGGGGACAAGGGAAGGCTGCCGGGAGCAGCTGTCCCAGTGGGGCAGGCGACTCAAACCTGAGCCATCCTGAAAGGAGAAGGGATTTTTTTTTTTTTTTCAGGAAAAAAGCAGGTTCTAGGTTTTGTTTCTAAGATCGACAAGCAAATATTTTGGTTTGGGCCTTTTACTATCTTGTTACTTATTTGAAAGTTAGGTGCAAATGTGTGTTTAATTGTTGTTTTAAAGGGTGATATACTTAACGTGGCGTTTACCTGGGAAGAGGCTCTTCCTATGGGCAGGGGGGGTTCGCTGGCAGCTGCAAAGCTGGGCTGCGACGGCACATACAAGGGGCAGAGCAAAGGAGGAATAAGGCCAAGTGATGCTGCACCCTACGGCCAGCGTTACACCAACAAGCGTTTCCTTTTCCAGCTGCCCCCGTGGGCCCCGAACCCGGCAGAGCCCCACGCAAAGGCTCTTCCCAACCCCAACGTAATGCTGCACCCTACGGCCAGCGTTACACCAACAAGCGTTTCCTTTTCCAGCTGCCCCCGTGGGCCCCGAACCCGGCAGAGCCCCACGCAAAGGCTCTTCCCAACCCCGACGCCGGGGACCGGAGCTGGGATACGCAGGTAGGATCCGACAGCAACTTCTGCACGCGACAACTCGGGCAGCGCCGGCCGCTTCCAGTCGTCGCGCGTCAGGATGTAGCCCACCACCAGCCCGAAGGCGACCAGCAGCAGCCCCAGGGTGTTGGCCAGGACGCCCTCGGGCACAAACTGGCTGTAGGAGTCCCTGCGGGCCCGGAAAGCGGAGCTGAAGACTCAGGGCAGGGCCGAAGGGATCTGATATTGCTGAGACCTGGACATAAGAAGCTCTTTTTTCAGGAAGTGATAGCAAAAATGCAATAGATCTCGGAGACATTGCTTTCTTTCATTCAAAAAGATATCTACATTTTAAGGAGACTTGAAGTTTTAATCAAAGTTCTTTCTTATGCTTGTCAAAAGCGGGAAAAGTGATAACCGCTTGTTGGTTGTTGGCTCGTGCTGAGCCAACCATTTGAATATTATTCTGGTTGATTAAATTTGCATTGCTAATAGGGAAGAAGCCATATGCCTCTCACACCTGTAGAATACTGCTCTGGGTTTTGAAAGGTTATTAGCACGCTATTCTATTCTGTCAAGAAAGGTTTTTTTGTTTGGTTGTTTGGTTTTTTTTAGAGCAGGTATGAAACGCGCCTGGGGAATGCAGAGGGATGTAGAGGACTGCAGCAGGTCCTCAGCTGCTGCTCTGCACTGTTTGCATCCTTTCTGCTCGCAGATGTGGCCTGCCAAGCAAACGGTAGCAGCAGGGAAAGGAAGAAACATGTGTCTTCCTGGGCAAAAACCCTTCAGCTTTAACAGTGAAACGTCTATCAGGGCAGCGTGAAGTCTTACTTTCAAAAAAAATAAAATAGCATGCGAGAGATTTAAATCCTACAGAATGGTTTATAAAGATAATGTAATTGCTGCTCTCTCTATAGCTTCAGTTGAATTTTAAATGGTCTGAGTAAAAGTTGGGGGTGTGTTTTTCCTGTTGCCCATTTAAGAATTTTGTTTTCACTAGAGACTGGTGAAATTATTCATTTTCTGCTTTAGGTTATATTCCAAAAATTAAATAGACTCCCCACTCCCCTTAAGACTTTGTACAGGGATTTTATCCTGATTAAAGCATTAAAAACTAATGCCACACAGACAAGTCCCTCTGGGTGCTACAGAGTGCATCAACTGCTTGTCTCCACCAGGTATTTCAATCAGCATTATCTGTAATTAACATTACACTTCTTCGCCACTGGCTTTTTCTCAGGATATTTTGAGCAGTGCTAAACTGGGTCTTGCCCAGCCTGCTCTGAAAACCAGGCTCCAGCTCCAGGCGGATCTAGTCTGGTCCTCTCTCTGGCGTGCAGTGAAGCAAACACCGCCTTAAGAAAATTCAGCATGCGTTTGACTTTCCAGCCTCAGGATCCTGGTCCACAGAGCCAGACCACCTTTCTCAATACTTGCTCCTGCTGGTGTGATATCCACGCTCAGAAACATCATTTGCTTTTTCCATTTAAAAGCTAGTGCTCATAAGAGGGCAAAACATCTTAGGAAACCCAGCTGAGCTAACGCTACAGTGTGACATGCATGGGAAACAAAGGAATAGCTTTGGTCTGAAGAAGTAAAATCTCAAGCAGAAAATCCATAAAAGCTGAGAGATGTGCAATCAAATAAATCCTAGACAACCATTACTTTCATCGCTTACCAAGACCACATCAACACAGTGTCAGTATTTGAGAATTTCAAATTTCACATTCCCCTGAATTTCCAAAATTGTAAAGGGCTAATTTATAGCCTTTTATGGACAGCCAGCCACTGACGTTTTTCACAGCAGTGCCTGAGAAACAGCAAGAATAAGAGAGAAACATGAGCTACTGAGTATTTGTTCACGAGCACGCATGTGTGTTCTCATTACTCTGTGGGTAGCTGTAGTATTAGGCAGACAGAGGGACGGATAAGCCTGAGCATGCTTCCCCCAAAGCACACCACCAATCCCAACCCAGCAAGAAACGCCTCACAAGAAAACATTCAGAGGCCTGACTTCAGCTAAAAATGCAGCTTCGCAATGGCACTTCCATGTCAGTGCACACGAGATGTCTTGACTGCTCAGATCAGCTGCACAGCCAGAAGAGGGGGAGGCTCCAGCAGGGCAAACATCAGATTTTGTGCAAAAACGTTAGGAAATACCTGCCACAACGATCCCAGAGATGAGTCCAGGTAGCAGCACCCAGAGCAGGATCGAACAGTGCCAGGGTGCGACAGCCAGACACTCTCCGCCATGCAGTGGGACAGCAGGGCATTGGGAAGGAGCCCAGGGAGGCATCGGGACATGGAGCGCAGTGTGTGGTGGCTGCAGGTCAAAACTCTGGCCCAGCGCTATGTGAAAGTCAATGCTTCCCCATTAATACCTAATGAAAAACTAGGCAAACTACCTACAGAGGGCACTTGGGACCTTTAAAGACACAGAGGAGAGCTGTCCTGTTGCCTAGTTATATTAATTAATTCATAAGCAAGTGTAAGTAATTGAAATCAGCCCAGCAGGGGCCCAGTTCATAGCCTGGAGGTTCATAAGGCTTCTGGCTTGAGAAGGAGAAAGGCGTTTTAGGGGGCTGCATCAGTGCAGGCGAGGGAAGCTTCTTCTCAGGTAGCAACGAAGGTGCCCCGCTGGCTAGTCCAGAGGAGGGCAAGGCTCTGGAGCTGCCCCTCCTGGGGAGAACGGGACTCGCTGAAAACGGAGATCTGCCCGTACAGCAGCCTGGCATTGCTCTCCTACCCACTCAACTGGCTGGCAGGATGCAGCATCTGTGACATCTGTTTCCGAAACTCTGGGGCCAGCCCCTTTTCAGCTGATCGTCTCAATAGTTCTTAAAAATACATCTACGGAAGGATGGTTTCTTCCTGTCGTGATGTCTAGAATCACAAGTTACCTTAAATAAAGGACATTTTTCAGAGCTAGCAAGGACTCTGTCATTGCAGTCAGTCTGTCAGAAAATTTGGTTGGTGTTAAGTAGCAATTGCCTTTTTTACTGTGAAGTTATTCAGATTTTGATAGAACGTGCTATCAACTTTTCCCCAGAACTGTCTGTGGTGATAATTGCCAGTTTACTGAATATTCTTCAGGAAAAGTTTTATTTCAATTAATTTCTCCTATTATAAGGTGTTTTTTTTAAACTGACAAAACATTTTCTTCAGGTATTTCCAAAGCAAAAATATCTGGGATGACAGATAGGGTAGGGGGAGGGAGCATCCGGCTGAAATGACTTAAAACATTCTAACTTTTGACCTAGTGCAAGATAGAAATTTTCAATATCTCCAAAATACTGGGACAAAAAATGACTGAATGTTCTTCAGAGAGAACACAGCCTCCTGGACCCAGCAGCTTCCCTCTCTGGGGTGGTCACTCCAGATGAGCGAGGTTATACGAAGGGTCAGGACTGCAGAGATGCAATTCAGACATACTCTGCATTTGCAGAGTCTCTATCAGCCAGGCTTTCTCTCATCTATCCAAACCACCCAGAAGAACTGCATCAGTGCCTCAGTCCCCATGTGGGGTTCTCTATAACATTAGCCACAGTCAGTACTATTAGTCACCAACTTTTCCTAGATTTCAAACTACTTGGATATCTGTCCGAGTTCAGAAGAGCCGCTTTCTCCCATTAAGGGGCTGTAGGCAGCCCACACCAGCAAGTAACACACTTCAGTAGCATGGAACGGGTGCACAGACCATTCTTGTGGTCTTATCCAGAGCTGTGAAGAAGGTGGTATGGTTGGAAATGCAGCGTGTTTAAAAAAAAAAAAAAAAAAGACAGCTTCTCCAGGAGGAGCGTTGCAGGAGGTGGCGGGTGCATGGGTGATGCCTGCAGGACTTGGGGTGTCGCTGGGGTTTGGGCAGGCAACGGGGAGGGCTGGGGTGTGGGCGAGATGTGGGTCCTCCTGGGGCTCCTCCTGGCCCAGGGGCAGGTCAGGGGGGTCTGTAAGGGGTTGCGGAGACCAGTGTTTTGGGGCGTGCTGGAGATTAGGGGGCAGCTTTTGGGGACCTGAGCTCTTGGGAGAAACCAACCCTCCCACCCGGGGCTGAATTGGAGCCAAACAGCTGGCTTCCTTCTGGAAAATGTCACGTTTGTGTGTGTGTGTGTGTCCCTTGGATGTGGTGCCACTAGATGTCAGCAGGAGCCTGCGATGTGCAGGACCCACGGGTGGGGACCAGCCCCTGGGACCCGAGCACCCTTGGGACCATACCCATGTGCCATCTGGAGCATCCTCTGACGTGGACCAGCCCTTGGGACCCGAGCAGGAGGTGAGATCCGTGGCACGGCCGTGCAGGCTGGAGGGGAAAAAACCTCGGCCTCAGCGCGACGTCATTCTCCCAAGCGTCTTCTCCGGCCGGGGCAAGTGGGAGAGGCCGAGCAGGGTTCATTTGACCTGCTCAGCTGCTTTTTCCCCTCAACCCGCTTATCAAATTCTCCCTCCCGATTTGTGGCCTTCGGCTCCAGCCGCCCTGCCTGCACCGCGGGGACCGTGCCGGGAGAAACCTGCCGCTCCGGCGGATGCTAAAGGAGCAAAGTCTGGCGCTGGTTGCACAGCGTGGAGCAGAGGCTGAGGTGCAAAAGGCTCAGAGCCCGTCTTTTAGATCGCCAAGGCCGGGCAAGAAAAAAAATCCCTGCCGGATAAATAAGCCCATTACACAGGTGAGACTTGTACCCAGGCAGTGATAGGCGCCCGCTGTTACCTCTCGCCCCGCAATCAGGATTTACTGTTGGAGGGTTTATTGGGAGATGGTTTACCAGCGCTAATCTCAGCAATAAAAGCCACCATAAACCGCCAACCTTTAGCCAGGCAGCGGCACCCCAAGGGCTCTCTGCATGGCCTCGCTGGCAGACGCTGGTTTCGGGGTGTCTCCAAGCAGAGCGGAGAGCTGAGCCCGTTGGCCTGGGTCTCTGCCAGGCCAGCAGGTGCTTTGGAGAAGGTGAGGATGCCCCTGCGGGGTCTCCAGCCTCTTCCTCCTGTTTGCTTGGTGCTGCCTCCCCGGGTCCACCGTGCTCAGCCCTGCCCCAAAGCCCCTCCTTGCCCTCCAAGGTCCAGCCGCTCCCCGAAACGCGGTTACCAGCCCCAACCT